CCTATCCTAGTGCTAAAAATGTAATAAACAAGTACCCCCTTCTTAAAATGGCATAAACCGAAAGAATACCAAACCTCAGCAGCGGAGATGTATGAGTGACAGCGCCTCGCAAAATATTAAAAGATTTGGCTCTGGCGAGCTACTGAAAACAGTTATCCAAAATTTACAGAATTTCTACGCCAAAATGAGTAACTAGAGCTCCAAAAATGCTACCACTAATACTCCTTTCCACGCTGTAGTTCTGCTACTTTTATTTTAAGGAAGTTCTTCAATATCGTAAAGTAGCTTCAGAAATTGCATAAAATTACTCTCCTTTCCAAGAAAAGCGCCTAGCCAGGCTGAAATCGAGGGAGACCTAATACCAATAGGGAAGTATGATTAACCAAAAAGGTTCTTCCCAGTAAAAAAAGCCATATTGGAGAAATAAAGAGGAGTGAATATTGTCGGCATTCATTTAGACTACTGATTTCTCTGAAAACAGGCTGGAAGGTCAGTTAAGCACAATTGACTGTCTGGCGGCAAGTCATAGTCATTAAGTCAGCTTTCAAACTCAAGAAGATTTACATCTAGAGATTACCCATCCAATACACGTAAGTCCGAAATGTAGACTAAATAATCCTCGTTCTTCATTGTTCCTCGCCCTCGTCAGCGTTCCTTTCTTTCCTTGCTCTTATTGCATAATTATGTCTTTTTCTGTACTGTTATTCACAATCGCGTAGTTGTTTTTTTTCTTTTTATATAAATAAACCATTACTGCGAATATTTAATTACCTAACTTCGGGTTTGGCTTAAAAATTTACTGTGAACCCAACAGTCTTTCGTGGCAGTCAAACAGCAGTCAAGGTATTATAAGCAACAGTTTCTGCAACCAATGAAGAAAAAGGGAAAGAAAGCGTGACCAGGGTGTTGATGCTCCCAGCAAAAAGTTAAGTTTTCTTAACACCACTCACAGTGACGGCTCGGGTTCTTACAAACTGAAGTTATTCTTCCCAAAAGAGGCATACATCTGGCTTGAATAGGTTCGTTGCACAGTCGCAGTCAATAAGTTTCGAGAGCAGATGTGACTTTCATTTGAAGATCATAAACGACCTACTCCATAAGATTTTGTGAATCTTATTTGGAGCGTTCCTGACACCACACAAGTGAAAAGCCAATTTTTTGCCACTGATCTGTCCTTCACAGCTATATAGCAAGCAGATCACCAAGTTCTTCAAGCCCCTTTTCTAACTTCACAGTTAGGTTTTTCATAATTAAAAGAGAATCAGCTTTCAGTTTTCACAATTTTTTGGGTCCCACTCAGGTCCCTCAAGAGGTAAAACTAGGGAATGGAAAGTTGGGACGAAGGCTAAATACACGTTTAAAGAAAGAAACAAATATAAGTACACTTTACATAATTTTTTAGAAGCCAGGAGCCGTAGCACATATTCAGTCAGGCAGCGAAAGGCAGAGGCACTTGAACTGAAGAGGCAGTAAAGATTATTTGGTCATCCAGACAAAATCATGAGAAGTACATCGGAAAACCGCAATATCGGGGTCATTAAATCGCGTGGGCGACACGTGTCAAGGAAGAGTAGCAAGAAAGGAGAGCTTAACTAACGGTTGAGCGGAATGCCAGATTCTTCACATTGTCCAAGAGCTTCTCCAATCCCGCTCCCCTTTCTAACACATGTATACCATCTCCGCAACCACCAAAATCACAATTGTCCGATTCTAATGAAACGGAACAAAACTTTCGAAACAGCTGTATTTTACACAAAGCTTTAAGGTAGTTCTTTTGAAATTTTCGCACTAGTAATGAATGAAGACAGGGTATTGAGCACAGAAGCAAAGATCTCCTATTATAGGTAAAAGTATGCGCCAATAATACTAGTGAGGGTCCTACCTACTATGGCTAGGGTAACAAAGAAAGTCCTCATCTAAATGAGTGTGCGAAGAGGGAAAATAGAAGTCAAGACTATTAAAAAAATTCATTTCAAAACTGATCGACTTTTTTTACCTACAACTTGAGAATGAATACATGTTCACTTACTACTGTCGACACGGTTTTTTTCACCGAAACGCTGCTTCCGTACCCACCAATTCAGTCGTCGAGCTAGAAGGAAGCAAGCGCAACAGCTGCAGCCAATCACAAATATAGTGAAGAGAAGAGCGCTGAAAAGAATTTCCTTCTGAATTACTAAAGCTAAATGGCAACACTGATCATGGTCCAACCAAATTTTTAACTTTAACTTCTAGTGGCACGATAATTTTCTTACACATTTTGTCATCCAAGCAAAATAAACACCTTGCCCATTCCGTTCTTCCTTCTTATGAGTACTTCCAAAATTAGTGGTCGTAAAAAACCAGTAAATTTTATGTCCTCATAAATAGCAGATCAAAGGTGAGCTTTATCAGAGATGGCAATCTTGGAATTTAGTACCAAACGTTTGGCAACAACCATAAAAAGAAAAAAGTGACCAATCAAGAAAAAAATCGTTAACTGCAGGAAAAACAAAATGCATCTAAGCTTTCATTAAAACAGTAATATTTATTATTCAAAAGACATTTAAAGCCAGCTACCCCTAAATTCCGCAGAAAGCTGCAAATTTAGGCAGACAAATATGTTGTCCAGCAACAAGCGAAGAAACGATAGAGGGTGTAGACGAACACTCTAACAAAGCAATACCAAACTTGACAGACAAAGACCAAAAAACGAAACCTCAGAGAGTAGAACAAAAGCAAGACAAAGAAAAGCTTTGATTTCAAAAATACGCACTTAAGTGTATCAAATGTATCCGTACAAGATTCTTACAGTCTGTTTACAGTTGAGCAAGTGCAGCAAAATTTTCGAGTGCAGATTAAAGATTCGCAGATGAAAAGGTTTTTATTGAGCAATTCATCATCCTCGAAACGAAGCAAAAAACAGTTAGGATGTTTCACTGAATGAGTGTTAAAAAACCAACAAACAATTACTGGTATCAGATAATATTTGCATTTCAAACTCCAGTTGAAATTTGTGTTCACGTTTGCAAAACCATAAAAAGTAAATGTTAACCACACTTTCAACGTTGGTTTCAAATTTGAGCTACACATTCCCTAGTACGACTCCCATCTTTAAAATACAGGAGCTCTTTACCACAAACAGAATATCCGGAAATTGGTGAACTGATCCTAACCAATAGGTATTTGATTTTTTTAGTCAAAATACAGATGGATTTCCAAGTTTTATAAAATCCTCAAGATAATCTAAAAATAGCAGGTCAAAATAAGCTCTGGCCTTGAAAGCGAGAACACCGAACTACTGCAAATAATGAAGACAAGCATAACAAATAAAAATTTGTCTGATTTACATTACATTACTATCTATTATTTACTCGCCATATGTGCGTGGATAACATAATAAGTTATCGCCAAGTGATTAGCTACTGTGTCTGCTTAAGTTAAAGCATGAAGCACAAATTGCATGCAATATACAGTGAATAACCATCGATTTTTACTACTACCTACATGTGAACGAAAAAACTTTAAGGTGCGCAGTTTAGATAAAGAGAACAAGATGTGCAAATAAAGAAAGATTCTGACATGTAATCTCAATTATTCTCAAGTCGCCTACCAACTGCTCAAAAAATGAAAGTTAGCAGGTAATCAGCAGATGAAAAATTAGAGGACAGCAAGAAGCGAAAAGAATAAAGCAACAACGTACCCAAGACCGAAAGTTCTGTATCCGTTCGAACCTCCTCCATAACAACAGTCAAGACCACAGCAATATTCGTTCCATCCGCAAGACCAAACTATTTCCTTCGGCCTTGAACGACCATCTTGCAAATAGATGTCTCCAAAGTTCGGATCATTAGGAGTTATTGGTCTACTGCACATTTTTGTACCAGAAGATCCCTGATAATAAGGTGAGCCCCAGTAATAGGACCGGCCATGATACCTAAATCGAGAAACGTTCCAAAAGTTAATGTAATTAAAAAGAAACAATTATCTCAAAATTACGGAACCACTTTTGAATGAAAATTCTAACGCTAATACACAACGCTGAAAAGTAGGAAACAGTTTGATTTACACTGTAAAGATTAAAAGGTCAAACTTCTTTTTTTCCATTAGTTCCTTCAAATCTCACATTCTGAATACTCAAAAATAGCCCTCCACACATGAGAACGAAAAGAAAAAAAATAGAAAGTGGAAAAGTTAGTTTTGATATCTGAAATGATAATGTGTGCCACCCTGTCAATCGTTAAAATTATTGTCACAAAGAACTTCAGGATGTATAGAACTGAAAACCAGTTGGCGATCAGTTACAAAAAGAAAAAGGTTGAGAATAGACAAGTTTGAAGCAATTAGTGTCAAAAAATCTGAAGAGACTAGCAATAACCCTTCTGAGATATCGAAGTAAAACCCATGTTTCCAATGCACTACAGTATCATAGATTAACGACGTTCAAAAAAGCCAAGGGTGAACAAGAGGAACACTTTATGACTTCTAATGTACTACAAAACAGTTCTATGACACCTGAATCAAGAAAATAGCAAACTTACATAAACGGCCGTGTTACGCTTCGAATAAGAGTTTTGCCAGCTTCATAGGCCAATATACCAGTAGCCGCGCCCAAGGCTGCTGACTTAAAAGTACTCGCTGAAAATCGAGGTTTCGACCTGGAATTCAATATTGCTAGGAAAGTGGAACATCTAGAAGGAAATGAAATTCAGAGTAAAAATTCTTATTACTTCTAAAAATAATGAACTGTCCATTTAATAATGAGGTGACTAATGGTGCACCCTTCAGTTAAAACCACTTTTTACCAAGGTAAAGTCATTTATAACAACAAGGACAAGTTTTACCAACTACGACTACTACTCCCACCGGTCGCTCTGGGATGACTCCATCCGCCACCACCTCTTTGCTGGTTTCCATACTGGTAGCCTCCAGTGTTGCTATACCGGGGGTGACTGCCTCCAGACTGATAGCCACCAACATGACCAGTGCGAGAGAAGCCTCCACTTGAAGAATGGTGAATAGGGCTGCCGAAGCCTCCTGAACGACCACTAGGCTTGGACATTGAACGACCAGCTGACATCCCTCGTCCAAAACCTCCACCAATTTTTTTTGTATCACTTTTCAGGATAAGTGCTAATATAACCACAAGCAGTGGTAGCAACTTCTGGCAAGAAGTCATTTTACCAACCTGATCACCTCGATTTCCTAACACCTCTGAAAATACACTGGTTTTTTCTGAGCCGAATTTGAATAATTACGACTAAACAATTATCAAATTAAGGCGATTTAGATGAAAAGTAACCCCCTCGTGCTTCAAAACAAAGGAAACACGTCGTCTTTTCTTCTCTACAACTGTAGACCGCAAAAAAACTTTAAAAGGCACAAGTTGAGCACTAATAAATCAAAGTATCGCCCTTAATTGCACGCAAATGTAGCTGAAACTTTCGATAAATTCGTGGTGTTGCAGCCAAAATTTATAGCTAAGTCCTCATGATACAAATTACAATGCCAACATAACAGTATCATAAAACTGCACATCGTTCAAAAAATATTTTAATACTTTGTCAACTTTATATAAAGAACTCATTAAGGAATGGGTTCCAAAAATTTTACAAAAAAATTTTTAAAAAAAATAACAAATGTACCGGAAACCAAAAAACCAAAAAAATATTTTTCCTTTATCAACAGACCAAATGAGTGACGTGCCCGTAAATTGGTTACAATCTAGAGCGCGATCTCGAAATTGAGAGCTGGTAACTGAACCATCCTCAACTTTAAAAAATTTTAAGTCTTCAAATTAAACGACTGCAGTGAACCTAAAAGTACGCATCTTTTGTTGCTTGTTGCACTTCACTAACTATTTCCTCGATATATACATTGGAATATCCCTATAGGAGTTAATAAGCTCTCGTCTGAAATCCGTCGAGCCTCTGAGAAATTAAACCAATAATAAGGAATGATTGGTGAAAAACTCCCACCACCATCGATCTATCGAGATCCAACTCAAATCAGAATCAGTAAAGAAGTACGGTGACCTTAACAAGCGTCATTTAGTCTAAAGTTTCTTGATCTATTTTGACTTCTAGTCTCTTCTTTAATTAGGGACTTTGGTACCGCTTCTCACCGAATGATTCGAAATCCCAAACACTAATTTAGTCCAACACTTCCCAGAGCGAGTAAAAAAGATTTAAGTAGGTGCTTGATTAGGTGCTTCATATAAGGAGAACAAAGTTCAAAATAAAGCTGAAAAAAGTGTAAACAAAGCTTCCATAATCCGTCATAAAAGTTGTTAAAAAAAGCTGATACATCTTCCGAGAAAAATGCTTGCACCAGCGTTGTCAACTAAGAAAAATTTTCTGCATAACCGAAGCTTCAGATGCAACAGCGGGCAAAACAAATAATAGATGATACAATACGATACATGAAACTAAAGATATTTTTCGTATCTAGCCAATGACAGTGGTAAACGTTTGACTGTAAAAGGAGTGGAGCAAAGTGCTCCAGTTCAGACTTCTTTACCCCTGTCTATGCTTTAAATAATTTACTGCTTCTTTGTAAAGAGAAGCCAATTAAAAAACAAAAATTACTACACATCAGTCAGTGCAATGCTATTCGATGTAAAAAATTAGACCAGAGAAGAGTAAATTTTCCTGCTTACGTTACAGTCAATAGTGAGTCATTGAGCCTAATTTCCTTTTCCGGTGATATTACAGAGCTGTATTCAAATACTTCTTCCAGTAGCAAAGAACTCTAAATTTTTAATTTCCTATTTCAGAGCCAAAGTTGATGAGTAATATGACTGTGCTACATTCATAAGTTTAGTTTAAGTTCAGTAAAATTTTTTTATCTATACGAATAAAATCGGAAGCACACTGAGACATAAACTGAAAGTAATAAGTGCAGATGCTATTCCAGCGATAATAATCAAATAACAAGAAAATTTATAAATGTTTAAAGCAGGCTTACATAAGGACATTTCAAATCGTTTAGATCAAAATGTGGTTTTGGTAGTGTCTAAAAAAAAAATTAAAGTCAACCATAACATAACAGATACAGTTCTACACAGAAACAAGAAATACCTCTCTATCGTTTCGTCGAAATGACGACACAACTGCACTTATAGCCCATTTAAATCCTAAACAATCGAAACCAAATTTCTAAACCACGCAGTATAAACTATTTCTCTACACAGAAACCAAACTGTGAAATTAAATCGCAGGTCAATCATTAGGATTCATCGTATTAACCAGTTGCCATAACCACAATAACTTCAAAAATGATCCTCAAAAACTACCAACAAGATGCATAAAAAATTTGCAAATATGAGCGATTAAAAGAAGTCAAAAAAAAACTTTTTTCAATCACAAATAAAATAAATGTTCATAATAAATACCGTAAAACTGAAAAACAAATGACCTCTATGATAATGAACAGCATTAGCAAATCTGAAGCAACATTTTAAATTAAAACTTTTAAAATTTGAAATCAACAAATAAGCAACCTAAAAAGGTAAAATTACAGTTTGAACCGTATAATGCCTATGCTCAGTTGGTTAGTATAGCAGAAGTAAAAAAAAAAAACCTACAATAGTTTAAAATTCAAACTGTTATTATGAGGCTGTTCCAAAAACTGGTACACAACCTAGTACACCTTAACAAATACACTGTCCTCAGTGACTGCAAATAATCCTAAATGACTGACAGTTGTCAGCACCGCTTCGATAATCATGTGAAGTCTAGTTGTTTTCGCAATCTATTTCAAGCTTTTCAGAGAAAAATTCTTAAAACAACAGTTACAAACTTAAATTTCATAAGAAAATAATGTTAAACCAAAATTAAACCAGAAGAAACATGGAGAAAAAAATCTGTCTTTTTACTGAACAAACGACAACAAAATAGATTATACAAGATTTACTTAAAAGAAGCACAAAAAGAAAATAAAAAAAAAAAAAAAAAAAGATGCAGCTGATTACAGTTTTTTTAAATTTTCCAATCTTAGTTAAAGATGCAAAAAGAAAAAAAGTTCAAAACTGGAAATTTTGAGCACATAAAAATCAGCAACATTATTCGTCATCTAGAACTCGCAATTATAAAAAACTATTAAAATTTTCATATACACAGTCATTTGGTTAGTATAAATATAAATGAAATTCGATCGCTAGACTTTTGATGATTGAAAAAAAAGGCTTAATAATACTTATCTGAAAGACAGAATTCACCTATGGGAGAAGAGGAAAGTTTTTCTTTTTTTTTGAAACAATATGATCGCTTAACGGAATTGATAATACGGCTAACACCATTTCCATCAAAAGTTGCACTGAATAAAGCTGCTGTTCTATACAGACCAAATAATCTTGTGATTGCACACACAAACACACGGAGAAATAACATCGGCGGGAAGAAAAAAAAAAACAATTTTCATTTGTTATGCATTAAAGATCAACAAAAATTTACAGCTGAAAAAATGGATATGATGCCAGCTATTACTTTTTTTTCCTCCCTTTGTTTGTTTTTTCTTCCTTCTTCCTCTTCTTTTTAAAACTGATTTAATCAACGTCAGCTGATCAAAAATTGACTCTAAAGATGAAGAATAAGGTGGAAGAGAAGAAAAAAAAAGCAATAAACAATTATAACTTAGTGACTCCAACAATAAAATAAGACAATATTTCATTAAAAAAAAAGATGTTATGGAGAAAAGATGGAAAAGAAATGGAAGAAAAAAAGCACCTTAGCTATCTGCCCGCATTGCTTTTTGTCGCCTCATCATCGCTACGGCTATTTACTGCATTAATATATCTCTTACTGCAAATCGATAATTCTCTTCTATTTATCACTCTGTTTCACATTTATCCGCTTCTCATCTACGAAAATTTGTCGAGTTTAAGCAAAAACTAAACAAACAACTGGCCACTCTGTTGTTGTCGTTTTTGTTCCTGCTGCTACTACTGTTACTGCTGCTGCCGAAGCTGCTGCTGCTTCTGCTGTGGTGCAAACATGTAAACAGCGTTGCCGATGACGCTACTTGTTGCCCGTTGTGAGCTGCTGCCGCTGCTGTTTTGCCAGGGCTGTTGATCTTTGAATCGGTTCATTCCGTTTAGGCTTTTTCGTCTAACTGCTAACCATGATACTACACATATGCTTTTTGCACTTGCATAATATGGATGTGCTTTTTAAATGTAATTAAAAACAACAACAACAACAACAATATTTGTTCAACCAACTTTGATTTAAAAATAACTTATCCATCTATATACTTGGGTGCTCTCTCGCAAGAAGAAAAGGGAAAAAAGATGTAAGCGACGCAGATTGACGCAAAAGAGAAAAAAAAACCAATTCAAACAGATGAGTACAGTCCTGAAAATATCTGTACAAAGTTACTGGCTTATTCCCGTACGCTATATTCTCATCTTAACTACGGAATAAAATTTTCAGATTTATCAACTGTTTAAAAGTACCGAAAAAATAGCAGTTAAACGCCCCAGCTGCAACAAACAGCCACTAAAAAAACAATTACAACAAATGTACATAAATTTCTTCTCCTTTCTTAATGCGGAACCATTACAAGTATTTGAAAAGTGCTGCACAGTTTTGGACCGGTTCTTATTGAGAAATCCCGTATAAACAAATGATGATGGCAA